CCAAGATAATCTTTAAATGCTCAACATGATCATCATCAGTATTGAAATAAATAAAAATATTATCGATGAATAAAATAATAAATTAATCAACATATAGCTTAAAAATCTAATTCATTAAAACCATTAAAACTATAAGAGCATTAGTTAAAAAAAATGACATCACTAAAAACTTATAATGACCTTATATGGTCTCAAAAACTTAGTAATATCTTCCTCCGTAACCTAAAATCAAAGATTTCAAAATGCAAGAAGTGAATTCTTTTGTGTAGGCATTTACAGACCAATAACTTTGAACACATTTTTGGTATACATTTTTGATATTACAATTATAGGATTTACTCATAACCAGAATGCACGAAGTGACTTCACATTAGTTGTTTCATCCTCATCCACCAAACTACTGCTCTTCCCTTTAATCTACATGAAATATACTGTGTTCATTTTCCCAACGGTATGTTCATGTACTCAGAAAAGGCTTCAACAACTTTTCCCCATATCACAACCTGACCCAGAGCTTTAAATTAACTAAGGCATGAAAAGATTGTAGGACAGTGAAACTAAATTTTCACTAATATTTTAATATCTAAGTATTAATCGAAAGAGCAACTAAAGAAAACATTTTAATTAACAAATAAAAGTTTACATTTCTAGTTGTTAATCTCACTTCCTATACACGTTAACTCCTCTAGTATTCATCTTATTCAAAAGTTTAAAACTTTAAAAAAAATTAAAACAACATAATGAGTTATCTAAGATAATACAACAGAGCGATTACATTTCTAAACTATAGTAAACCAAAGAAAGAAAGCAATCTGCATGCTAGTTTTTCAAATTTTATTATAAAAAGTCATATAATAATTTAAGACATGTGTCAGTGACATTTACTCAATGGAAATAACTTAAACTTCGATATGCATTAACTTTAACTATACTCTTTAATTTTTAACTGTACTTTTACTTCATACTATTAGCAGTCATATGTCTCAAGAACACCGTTAAAACATAACCCAAAACAACCTTGACTGATATTATCCCATAGTGGTTTATGATCTAAATTACTGACTGAGGTGAAAAAATGTCTTCTCGTCTTTGGTCGATATTTTCCCATAGGCACAACGGTTAGTGATCTAATTATCACAATTGTCTGGGCAGTACGAAAACATCTACACATGCGCGTACATTGGTCTCCATTGCTTGTATCATAAGTAGGTGAACTTTTCTTAGCATACACATACAAACATTCAGATATATACTATTTTATTCTTCATAACATTCTTTTTTTTAAGAGATGCATTACATTTATTTACTAATGAATAAATGCAATCTTACTGGAATATAAATGTCAAGTAATAATCTAATATATGCAACTTTACTAGAATTTAAAGGTCATGTAATAATCTAACATATATAACTCTACTAGAATATAAGAGTCATGTAATAACCTGATATCTTCATAAAATAAACTATTATGCAATTATCTAGACAACAATTTTTAACATGCATACTTCATGACTAACGATATGAAGAATCAAATATAATTTAATTTCATTGATATAAAATCTAATAGTGAAAAACTCTAAGTATGAATATATTTAAAAGTAAGAAATATTACAATAATTTAAAAGTTTAATTACTCGCTTCAAACCTTTTGACTTTTTACTCCTATCAATCTTCAAACTCAAATTTCTAACATTAGTAAGCAATAAAATTTATTTTAATACTTAATTATCTATTTAATTTACAAATAAATTTTCAATTAACACGTACCTTTTATATCTCAACTTCTTCTCCCTCCAATCTCAAACATTCCTCAATATAATATTTTCTGATTTAGCCAAAAATTAATATTAACATTTAAAATTTCAATTAATTAATTAATCTAAATAAAATACAACACACTAAAAACCTTAACGTTACCTTAAAATCTTGGTTTGATTGCCTTCCACACTTCCCCCACAAGCTAGCTTGAACCGTGCTTCTCTTCAACACTCGACATTGTCAGTCAAGCGATCAAGATCCCCTCCCACTCACATCTTTATAGTTTCCTGCACCAGTTGAAGCCACCAATTGATCTCCTGCTAGGTTCGAAGCCTCCTTCTGCAAGCGAAGTTTCCAAACATCCCTTCTCCTTCGCATTAAAGTCGCCACACGCAACCCACCTCTTCTTCTCTTCTCTTCTTCTCTTCTCTTCTTCTCTTCTATTCTTCTTTGATCTTCTTCTCTTCTCTTCTTCTCTTCTCTTCTTCTCTTCTCTTCTTCTCTTCTCTTCTTCTCTTCTATTCTTCTTTGATCAGTTAAGGCACTAGGCTTCCTCCTCTCGCATCGCAATATTCATAAGTCCTTCCAGTTCTTCCTTCTCACGAGATGTCTCCTTCTTTGCCCTAGAGACACATAGAACCAGTTCATATCTAGCGCCATCACACTTTCAATGTTTGTGTCACTGAGAGTAGGAAGCCCCATACCTCTCCTACCTGTACGATCCTGGCTTCTTGCTTGACTTTAGCGTCGTCATTAAGGTATGAGATGGAGACGACCTCCTTCTATTTCTTCTTCCTTCTCGTTCTCTATTTCGTCTTGTTGAAATGAGATGCTTGCCATCTAAAAAAAACAAATCAGATGATTGATCAAATCGAATCTATCCGTTGAAATTTCCCTTTTTATATTTTATTCTTATTATTATTATTTATTTATTTAGTTATTACATCCCAATCCATATAATCTTCTAAGTGCAAATGTCTATCCAAATTTCGTATATCTAGTTTTTTTTTTAATCCTCTTGATTTCTACTTCCTACATCATGCTTGTGCATAGAATTAGCCCAAAAATTTGTCTCGCTTTTAGAATTGAAGACATTCATGCAAGTTTGCCTAGGAAGATACCAATTGTCTTTAGAATTGATGATGTCATGTGAGTTGGATGAATCGGTACGTAAGGGCCTCCACATTTCCCAATTCTGCAAAGTGGGGTCTCCATTAGTTGGAACCTTGCCATGCTCACCAATGCGAGAAGATAGCACTATGTCCAGACTCCCAATTGAAAACAAGGTCACAGATGAGGCATTTGTTGGAGTCATTCATGGCTCTAATACCACATGGTGTAACCCAGAACAAACAAAGAGGAAGTAGAAGGGAGTAAAATAATCTCCATTAGGAAGTTTCAATAAAAACTAAAAAGTGATAGTAAATTTTCATATTGTACATCCACTTCTAATTGAACTAGCTTTAAGCATATATAATTATCTTCTAGATAAAACACTAAAATATATAATAAGGTTTTGTAAAACTAAATAATCAAGTATACAACCGCTACTATCGGATCACCCATATATCCGTGACTGAAGTCTAACATGCAACACCAATTAATGAGTGAGTTAATAGAACCATAAAGAGAACGAAGATTCATATAAAAGAAATTTGTTTACCAAGTTGATGGTTGAGATATTCACTGAAATTGTGCAACATCCACTATCCAATCTACTAAAATTTATTTTGTTGTTACTTAGTCGCCAAGCCCTCTGCTATATGGAGTACCTTTCTAATTTCAATATCACTATTAAGTCTTTTTCTTGGTTTCATTCATTTTCAAAAGCATCTTACTATTTAGATATTAAAAATCATTGTATTTGAACCAGCCAAGAGAAAAATAGTTGAATCCTACTCAATTTTGCCAAGATCTCGAAAAATGAATTTGGTTTTAGGCTAAGATTATGCTTGCTTTGAGAGAGGAGACTCTATTTGTGACCCATGACGCTAAGAAATGACTCACTTTGAGTTCTTCATTATAGGTCGAGCTGCATAAGAAATCATTGTTGTTTGAGTTGTTAGACGCAGTTGCTGCCAGAAATTTAGCTTTACTTGAATATAGCATAAGTTAGAAGATTGGTTCCACTTGGACTAAAAATGTAGAACATATATTGTATGATCAAGTAAAATTAAAAAAAAAGACTACCAGGTAATGGTCAATAGTGTTGATTTATTGAATATCAAAGAATGAGTGCAATTAGCTGAGTATTAATGAGCAGACACTAAAGTTCATGTATTGCCTATATAGTGCAAATGGGCAACTTGCCCTCGATGATTACCCTTTATAAGGCTCAATACTTCAAGGTGACTCCTTGAGCAACTGGTAATTGTGACTTACAATGTTCAAGTATGCTATTGTTTGCTAATTAACTAATAATTAATGACTAACTCGAATGGAAACTCAAGAGCAACTTGTTTCAATGAACCAATTCAATCAATCCAAAAAGCATACCCAAATCACTAATAACTTAGCCAATCTCACATAATTGGCTTAATTAACCTAGCCCGAAATGATTATTGCTATATAAGTTTAAATTGCAATACTTTCTTTGTCAAAATATATGTTGCAATAAAAAAAGTTATACTAGTCAGAGCAATAATAATTTCTTAATAAAAAAAATAGATTTACTTGATTCAATGAACTAATTCTCTAAGCTCAATCAATCTAGAAGAATAGACCCACATGACCAAATAACTTAGTCAATCTCATTTAATTTGCTTATTTACATAAAAAAATAAATTTACTTGATTCAATGAACTAATTCTCTATGCTCAATCAATCTAAATGAATAGACCCACATGACCAATAACTTAGTCAATCTCATTTAATTTGCTTATTTAATCTATACCTAGAAGATCATAGGCATACAAGTTTGAACTACAATAACTTCTTTATCAAAACACAGGTTCCACTAGCATTTACCGTAAAAGAAACTACCATATGATGTTGAAGCAATAGATATAACGTAAAAATGCAAAGCTAAATAGTAAGATTATTATTAATTGACAAGGCAAATGCAATAATGTCATATGAGGGTAAAGGAAGATCAATACTATACATTGCTGGTAAAGTTGATATGGATCAAGAAAGGAAAATTAACTACCCTGCAAACATCAAAATTATGACCATACCACCCATATTTCACTAAATAGCTAGAAGATAATAAATTTGGATATTTGTTTCACAAGACAACACACCTCAAACCCACGATAAAATTTTCCTTCACCAATGAGATCAAAATGAACTCTCCTTCTTGCAGGCTTATCTAGCAATGTGCAAACTGAGACAGAGCATGCTCCTTTAGACTTTAAGTGTGAAATGAGACAGGAAAGGGTGGCTCCTGTGTCTACAATATCTTCAACCTTGAAAAACATCAAGCAATATACATTAGATCTTAAATAAGTTAAAAAAAAGAGGCATTGAGAAGGAAATATCCACGAGAGGGTGAGCCATAGTGTTTGTTAAGCTTTATATTCAATTTTATAAAATATTGTTCTTTCTTCTCGATAATGCTAGAAAATTATCAACAAAGAAAGCTTCCTAAAAACTTAATTATATTCAGTGCCAATGCGAATGGTTAGAAACATGCTGGATTCTTGCTTTACTGTCATTTAGACTTGAGATTCATAAGCAATAAAAAATAAGCAAAAGTTTTAAATTAAGCTGACATTAATGTTTCAAAAAAATTTTAAAAAAAAGAGCCATTGATTTATAATAAATGCAGCTCAAGTAAATGAAAAAATTGTTATTTGAATGGTAAAAGTTTCCCCTATGAGTTGATTTGATTGATGGAAAATAAATAAAATATTTAAAAAAAAAAGTTTCATTTTCAATCATTTTAAAAGTGAAAATTTGATTATTACATTACAATTTTACGTAGGTTTGTGAAACTATAAACCAATATTTATTTCTATCTACACCAACAAAAAAAAAGTTAATAAATTTAACCATTTTTAAAACACATTTTTCATCCCCATGAAACCCAATGAAACCTAAATAAAATTTTCCTTTTATCATTACATCTCGTAATAAGAAAAATAAAGTCTTCCATACCAAGCAAACTGATACTGATTAGCATAAAATGTACAAGACTTAGGCATAAGCAACCTGTTAATGTAGCCCATGACTATATCTTCATATTCGAATCCCACTGAAAGCTATTTATACACGCCACTGAATTACAAATCAAATACCACCTTAGAAAAGTTCACTTTATCGAGCACAAAAAGCTTCAAAAGAAGAAAATGACAAAAGAATAATTATTTCACATTTACTACGGCTGGTAAAATGTAAGAAAGGGAAAATAGCATAGTTAGAATATTCGAAAACGATCGTGAAAATTTATGAATTTATAATATTCATACTAAGTTCAAACTTTATAGCAATACTCTTTTTCAAAATAACCTAATAAAGACATGGATAAGCAGATCGGATATAGAATTTAATCCACAATTAACAAGATAAATAATCTTCCACACTTGGAAACCAGCCTCGGGCATTTTGAACAATTAAGAAAAAAACTCCAACCAGTGATGCATGGTTGTTTGATTCAATGTTATTAGATAAAAGTGATATCTACTGTTATTAGATAATAGTGATATCTAAATAATAGTGTTATTTAAATTAATAACAATGTCCTATATAAAAGTATCTCTGGTTAAATATTATTATACTTAACAATTTAATATTATCTCAAGAGATGAATAATGTTTTTAAATTTTGAATTTCATGGTCATTTATTTTAACCGCTAGACAGCTCTCAGCAAAGATAACAACTAGCATCTACTAACATGACATTACCCAGATCACCAAGCTGATATTTGCAAAACAAAAAGCCCCATGGGGCTCATTTTGTTGCCTGTAGTTCAGATTGAATTTTATAAAATGTTTACCTTTTTTTTCACTTACTCTGTTTAAGAATGAATATTGGGTTGGCTTATGTAAGTTTAAAATGTAAAACCGTCATTTGAAAAAATGTTAAGTAGACTTTTTTAGTTTGAAATCATTGCTAGCTTTTAACCACACCAAACCACCATTTGGCAACACTTTTCTTTTCTACTTTTGTTTTCTTTTTTACTTTTTTTTAAATATGTTTGCATTATTGCATAGTATTATTTTTATATATTTTTACTATTTTATTTTTAGAAGTATCAAAACATCTGGAATGTTTACATAAACAAAACAAAATAAAAATAAAAATAAAAAACAAAAACAAAAGTGACCCTAAACGTGCAGAAAATTTCAGCTACTTTTTGAATGGTGTTTTCTACTAACACTAAGAAGTTTGCTTCTCCAAAAACACGGGGTTCAAACCACATAGAGATTTATAGCTCACCCTTTCAAGGGGAAAAAAACAGAACTTTAGTGCCCAATCTAGTCATAAACATACCAAAATTACGTGCTTTCCGCTGATATCGAGCTTCAGGTCACAAGAGATGATAGGAGCGCCATTTGACTTCGTTCCTGAGCCGTAAGACTCGGCGCGGATAAAATCTACGGCGATTGGAAGAGTGATATTGCGGACAATGTCGGCGAGGAAGATGAAAGCGCCGGTGGCTACGCCGACAAGGACGACAGGAGACGGGAATCGCTGAAAATCATTGGAGATCTCCCCTCCGAGCTCGGAAATGCGTGCGACGATCTCCTCCGCTGTCCAAAGCACCCGCTCGATATCCCCATACATGGTCATTGATAACTACTGTCACTATTTCTGACTCTCTTTCAACGAAAAATTATTGCCCAAGTTTGAGGCCAATCAAAATTCTTCCTTTTATCCTTTTTGCCAAAATGTCAATCAAAGTACTCCCTTTTAGGAGAAATATTTGCATACATAAGATGTACGCAGCGTTGCGTACATTAGAGGTTATTTAGGGGGTACAATGGGGTTATATCTGAGTTATACCCCCTTGTAACCTCCGGTATAACCCGAATATAATTACTATGTAGCCTCTCCCCTCCGAGCTCGGAAATGCGTGCGACGATCTCCTCCGCTGTCCAAAGCACCCGCTCGATATCCCCATACATGGTCATTGATAACTACTGTCACTATTTCTGACTCTCTTTCAACGAAAAATTATTGCCCAAGTTTGAGGCCAATCAAAATTCTTCCTTTTATCCATTTTGCCAAAATGCCAATCAAAGTACTCCCTTTTAGACTCTAATTTTTTTTAAAAAAAATATTTTTTTATGCATGTACTGACCACACAAAATAATCTCTCCTCTTTTAACTCTCTCTTTCACTCTTTAGGAGTTTATTACATGTGGACTCCGCAAGTAGAGTTGGGAGCCGAGTCTCATCCACGTTCTCCATGTGGAATTTCAAGCCCCATAACATAAATGAATTAGAGCACGCAACCCGGCCCGACTAAAACCCGACTCCAGCCCAATAAGCAAATAAGTGACTTTTTGTCCAAAGTTGATCCCGCCAAAAGTCTTTCGTCACATTTTTTTGTTGTCGCCAGTACAAAAAAGCGAACTTTATCACTCTAGGTTATCTTTGTGCAGGGTTCCACGGGTTATAACGCCGCCCACATATTATACAGACG